AACTCCATTCCTGGGCATGATTTTGAATGCCCGGAGCCAACTGTAGGCCACTTCGTGGTCTTCGAGTTCCCAGAACTCCATGATCCTGGGCCACATTTTGAATGCTGAGGCAGGCTGATGCTGAGGCAGGCTGAGGCTGAGGCAGGCTGAGGCTGAGGCCGAGGCTGAAGGCAGACTGAGGCTGAGGCTGAAGCAGGCTGAGGCTGAGGCTGAGGCAGGCTGAGGCTGAGGCTGAGGCAGGCTGATGCTGAGGCAGGCTGAGGCTGAGGCTGAGGCTGATGCAGGCTGAGGCTGAGGCAGGCTGAGGCTGAGGCCGAGGCTGAAGGCAGACTGAGGCTGAGGCTGAAGCAGGCTGAGGCTGAGGCTGAGGCAGGCTGAGGCTGAGGCTGAGGCAGGCTGATGCTGAGGCAGGCTGAGGCTGAGGCTGAGGCTGATGCAGGCTGAGGCTGAGGCAGGCTGAGGCTGAGGCCGAGGCTGAAGGCAGACTGAGGCTGAGGCTGAAGCAGGCTGAGGCTGAGGCTGAGGCAGGCTGAGGCTGAGGCTGAGGCAGGCTGATGCTGAGGCAGGCTGAGGCTGAGGCTGAGGCTGATGCTGAGGCTGAGGCAGGCTGAGGCTGAGGCTGAGGCTGAGGCTGAGGCTGAGGCTGAGGCTGAGGCTGAGGCTGAGGCAGGCTGAGGCTGAGGCTGAGGCTGAGGCTGAGGCAGGCTGAGGCTGAGGCTGAGGCAGACTGAGGAGGCTGAGGCTGAGGCTGAGGCTGAGGCTGAGGCTGAGGCTGAGGCTGAGGCAGGCTGAGGCTGAGGCTGAGGCTGAGGCTGAGGCTGAGGCAGGCTGAGGCTGAGGCCGAGGCTGAAGGCAGACTGAGGCTGAGGCTGAAGCAGGCTGAGGCTGAGGCTGAGGCAGGCTGATGCTGAGGCAGGCTGAGGCTGAGGCTGAGGCTGATGCAGGCTGAGGCTGAGGCAGGCTGAGGCTGAGGCCGAGGCTGAAGGCAGACTGAGGCTGAGGCTGAAGCAGGCTGAGGCTGAGGCTGAGGCAGGCTGAGGCTGAGGCAGGCTGAGCTGAGGCTGAGGCTGAGGCAGGCTGAAGGCAGACTGAGGCTGAGGCTGAAGCAGGCTGAGGCTGAGGCTGAGGCAGGCTGAGGCTGAGGCTGAGGCAGGCTGATGCTGAGGCAGGCTGAGGCTGAGGCTGAGGCTGATGCAGGCTGAGGCTGAGGCAGGCTGAGGCTGAGGCCGAGGCTGAAGGCAGACTGAGGCTGAGGCTGAAGCAGGCTGAGGCTGAGGCTGAGGCAGGCTGAGGCTGAGGCTGAGGCAGGCTGATGCTGAGGCAGGCTGAGGCTGAGGCTGAGGCTGATGCAGGCTGAGGCTGAGGCAGGCTGAGGCTGAGGCCGAGGCTGAAGGCAGACTGAGGCTGAGGCTGAAGCAGGCTGAGGCTGAGGCTGAGGCAGGCTGAGGCTGAGGCTGAGGCAGGCTGAGGCTGAGGCTGTGACTGCGACTGCCGTTGCCACTGCGACTGCCATCGCGAATGCGACTACGACTGCGAGAACAGCAGAATTCTACAACAGGATTCTCATCTGAATCTTAACGGGAATGCTTCCAACTATGCTCCTACACATCGCTGTTAGGCTGCGTTGCCGGGATAATATGTTTACTTCGCGCGCGAGGGGCGGCCCCTGGGGGTCTCCGGTAATATCTACATAGTATTTCTACTTCGCGCGCGCGGGGCGGCCCCTGGGGGTCCCCAGACCAAGCCCGGGCGCGGCCCGGGCGCAGCCCCGGCCCCAAGAGGCCCCCAACACGGTCCGAGAGAGGCCCGAGACGCCCGAAGATCGTTCCACAACGCCCAAGCTGGCATCCAGACGGCCCAAGAGGCCTCCAAAATGGCCCTAGAGGCCTCCTAGATGCCCCAAGAAGCCTCCAGGAGCACTCCCAAGAGAACCCACAGAAGCAAACTTCATTGCTTTCCCTTAGGTTTTGGACAGATGTGGGCGTTTCTACCTTTTCGGCTTCCCGACGCCCCTAGACGGCTCAAGAGGCCCCCAAGATCGCCCCAAGAGGTCCCAAGAGGCCCCCAAGAGGGCCCCAAGACGGCCCAAGACGGCTCCAAGACGGCCCAAGAAGCCCCCAAGACGGCCCAAGAGGGCCCCAAGGATGCCTCAAGAGGGGCTCCCAAAAGGGAACACGAACCAACATCTCGAACTCTCGGCCCTCAGAGGCCCCCAGGAAGCCCCGAGAGGCCCCCTAAGAGACCCCAAGAGGCACCCAAGACGCCCTCAGAAGTCCCCAAGAGGCCCCCTAGAGGCCCCCAAGCGCCCTCAGGAGGCACCCCAAATGCCCCCCGAGCACTCAACCAGCCAGCGATCCTCCTCCTCCTCCTCCTTCTCCTCCTCGTCCTCTCTCCTCCCTCCTCCCTCCTCCATCCTTTCTCCTCCCTCCTCCCTCCTCCTCCTCCCACCTCCTTCCTCCTCCTCCTCCTCCTCCTCCTTCTCCTCCTCCTCCTCCTCCTCCTCCTCCGCCTTACTCCTTCTCCCTCCCCCTCCCTCCTCCTCCTCCTCCTCCTCCACCTCCTCCTCCTCCTCCTCCTCATCCCCTCCAATTTCTCTTTGACATAATACACACTCTGCGTTTGAAAGGATGCAGGGGTCCCAGAGAGGGAACACGAAACATGATCGACCCACGAACCCGGAAAGGAATATAGAAATGTAACGCGTGGCAGCGTTTTCAAAGACACCGGATTGGGTGACGGGCACATGCAATGCGGAGTGTATCGATCTTGATGCACCGTGCCAAAGGCTGTGCTGCGCTGCGCCGTGCTGAATTGAATTGCGATGTGCCATGCCGAGATTGTGCCCTATAGCGTTGTGGATCCTGTCCTTCTGCATCCGAGTCCTGACCGAACTGATCTGGATCTTAAGCTCGAGCTGCCTGAACACATAGTAGCTGCCGCAGAGCTAATTGACATGGGGATATGCCAGGAGGACGCGCCGCGAAACGTCCCAAGGGATGCGCCAGGCGACGTGCCATGGGACGTGCCATGGGGTCGCACCGCGGGACGTGCCAAGGGGACGCGCTACGGAACGTGCCAATGGATGTGCCACGGGATGCGCCAGGGGACGCGCCACGCGACGTGCCAGGGGGGGTGCCAAGGAACGTGCCAAGTTGCAATGCTGAATGTATCGATCTTGAGGTACCGTGCCAAAGCCTGTGCTGTGCTGCGCTGTGCTGAATTGCGATGTGCCATGCCGCGATTGTGCTCTATAGCGTTGTGGTTAGTCCCCCTTTGCATCCGAGTCCTGACCGAACTGATCTGGATCTTAAGCTCGAGCTGCCTAAGCACATAGTAGCTGCCACAGAGCTAATTGACAGGGGGGCATGCCAGGAGCACGCGCCGCGGAACGTCTCAAGGGACGCGCCAAGCGACGTGCCAGGGGACGTGCCATGGGGACGCACCGCGGGACGTGCCAAGGGGACGCGCTACGGAACGTGCTGGGGACAAGCGTTTCGCTCGAGATATCCTGTCAAAATCCTCATGCTAGACATCCGCCTGAGCGACCTGGACACGTGAAAACAAGCGTTTCGCTCAACACATCCTCAACACATTCTCATGCTAGACATCCGCCTGGGCGAACTGGACACGTGGAAACAAGTGGTTCGCTCTAGACATCCTCAACACACCTTCATGTGAGACGTCCGCCTGGGTGACCTGGGCACGTGAAAACAAGCGTTTCGCTCGAGACGTTTTCAACACCTCCTCATTCTAGACATCCGCCTGGGCGACCTGTACACGTGAAAGCAAACGTCTCGCTCGAGACATCCTCAACACATCTTCATGTTAGACATCCGCCTGGGCGACCTGGACACGCGAAAACAAGAGTATCTCTCAAGACATTCTCAACACATCCTCATGCTAGGCATCCCCCTGGGCAACCTGGACACGTGCAAACAAGCATCTCGATTGAGACTTCGTCAACACATCCTCATGCTAGACATCCGCCTGGGCGACGAGGATGCGTGAAACCAAGCGTCTCGCTCGAGACATCCTCAGCAAATCCTGTCGCTAGACCTCTGCCTGGGCAACCTGGAGGCGTGAAACCAAGCGTCTCGCTCGAGACATCCTCAAGACCTGGGCACGTGAAAACAAGCATTTCATTTCAGAGCTCCTCTGAATTCTGGTCCCCAGGAGAGGACAATCTATAACACAAAACAAGCGTTCCGCTCGAGACATCCTCAACAAATTCTGAAAAACAAGCGTTTCGCCAGGGACATCCTCAATAATTCGCCGGCCCTACGCGACCTCGTTATTTATCGCAAAAGAAATTCGCCGGCCCTACTGCCGTCAGATCCGGGGGCAAACCCCTAAAAGAGAACCCTGGGCTTGTGCCCTTTCCGGGAAAGAGAACCCTGGGCCTGTGCCCTTTCTGGGAAGAACAGTTCAAGCCTCCAGCCCTAAGAGGCCCACAGGAGGCCCCAAGAGGCCCCCAAGAGGCCTCCTAGAGGCCCCCAAGAGGCCCCCGGATCCCTCGGGCAAACAGCAGAGATGAGGCTACATGGGCTGGCGGAATGAGCGGAGCGATCCAATACTTAGAAATGAACAATGCGCATCCTGGGGCGGCTTGGGACTTCTGTGGCTCTCTCGCTGCTCTGCTCGGCGGTCGTGGGCACCTTCGCCTTCCTGGGGGGGCTCCCTTCGGCCGTGTGAGGCCCGAGAGGAGCTGACGTGGCTGGTCTTGGGGGGTCCTGGGGACGCTCGGGGGTGCGTGTGGGCAGTCCAGGCTGGTGCAATACTACTTGGGCGAGAGCCCTTCTGGCACGCGGTGGCGCTGGCACTACAGGAGTGTGAAGTCATTGGATAAGGAACCGCTGGATAAACAAATCCAGGGCCTGAAAAGCCGGAGGAGCACCAATAGAGGCCCAGCTGTGGACACCATCGCCGCATTCATCAGATGAGGAACCCTCCGGGGTCTGAAACCTCCTGGGCACATTGTTTGACGCACTCCCCCATTGTACAGATGAAAGTTGGCTCCAGCTCCACCTCCCACAACTCGCTCAGCAGGGATAGCGCCTGCAGCCACTGAGCATCTGTACTGCACGCGCTGAGGACAGAGTTGTAGCTGATGACATCTGGCTCCAACCTTGCCTCCCGCAAACCTCGGAACACAGACAACGCCTGCTCCCAGACCCCAAGTTGAGCACACGCACTGATTGCACCATTGTAGCTCCTGGTTGTCGGTACCAACTTCGTGTCTCGCATCTCGCTTAATAGAAGTAGTGCATCCTGCCACTGTTCGCCTTCCGCGCACGCGCTGATTCCAGCATTGTAACTGATGACGTTTGGCTCAAACCTCACCCCCAGCATACTCTGTACCAAAATCGACGCCAACTCCCATTGCCCGCCCATCATACATGCGGCTAAAGCAGACTTGTAGGCGTAGGGGTCTGGCTTTGATTGAGCATTCCCCATGTAATTCATTAAAGATACTGCATGCTGCCAGTCCCCGCCTTTCTGGCAGGCGGTGATTCCAGCGCGAAAGCTGTCGACTTGTGGCTCCAAGTCAGCCTCCCGCATGCCATTGAGCAGTGACAGCGCTCGTTGCCACTGCGCACCAGTTCCCCACGCGTTGATTGCAGCGGTGTAGCTCGCGGTGTCATGTTCCAACTTCACCTCCCACACCTCGCGAAATAGAAGCAATACGGTCTGCCATTGTTCAGCACCCGTGCACGCATTACTTCCGCTGTTATAGCTGGCGACGTCCGGTATCACTTTTACGTCCCGCATTCCGAAGAGCAGCGACAACGCCTGCTCCCATAACCCGCTAAGTCCAAACGCTTTAATTCCGGCGTTGTATAAGGTTGCGTCCACCTCGAGCTTCGACTCCCGCGCGTCGCTGAGCAGCACCAGCGCCTGATGCCAGCGCCCACTATTCGCACACGCGTTGACTGAAACATGGTAGATGACGGTATCAAGCTCCAATGTCGCCTTCCCTGACTCGCGTAGCAAGGACAATGCCTGTTGCCACTCGCAGGCGCTAATGCATGTACTGACCATGCTGATGCTCGTCTCTAGCATCCTTTGCCGCATGTCGCTGAGCAGCGACAGAGCATGCTGCCACTGTCCAGCTTTCGCGCACGCGCGGATTCCACCGCCGTAGCTGAACACATTTGGATCCAACTCTATCGCCTGCATGTCGCTCAGAAGTACCAGCGCAGGTTGCCACTGACCCCCTTCTCCACATGCAAGGATGCCGTGGTTATAGCTGGAGATGCCGGGCTCTAATGCCGCCTCGCACGCCTCGTTGAGCAACGACAGTGCAAGCTGCCACTGATCGCTTCTTCCACACGCAATCCGCCACGGTGCCACCTCCTGGCACGTTGAGGCGGGTGTAATACCGAGTAATGTCTGGTGTGGTTTCGTGGCATCTTCTAGAAGGGACTCCTCCCCCTTCTCCCCACGCAGTGGCGCATGCACCTCCTCCCCCTCCGGAAGGTTCTTGGGCTGCTCGAAGTTTTCCTGGCGTTCTCGACGGCTTCCCGATGCTTCACCAGAATGGCCCACCGCTGCTTCACGACGTCCCCGAGCGCACCTCGAAGACAGCCCGAGAGGCCCCAGGAGGCATCCCACAGGCCCCAAGACACCCCCAACACGCTCTCCAGAAGGCGCCCGAGAGCCTCCAGGCACCACTGATGATCCTAAGGCGCTCAACGTTTCGATCTCCGCGCCCTTCGGTCGAAGGTCGGTCCGCCTGCGGTCTTCGAGGGCCCCGCGGGACCCGCGGAGCGCCCGCAGGGGAGCCCCCAGTCGACCTCAAGACAGCTCCAAGCTGGCCAAACAAGGCCTCGGGAGGGATCCAAGGCAGCCTGAGAGTGCTCCCAGATGGCCCAAAAGGGCTCCGAGACGGCGCGTCGGCGACCTCAGGAGATCCCCACCCCAGACGGCAAGGAGAGCCTCACGACGGCTCAATGGGGCGCCAAGACAGGCCAAGAGGGCCCCAAGACCGCCCAAGAGGGGTTCAAAGGACCCCCCAAACTGCCCGCGGGAGCCCAAAGAGTCCCAAGGAGAGCTCCTAAAGCAGTGGAGACGAGAGGTGTCACACGTGACGGCCTTGTGGACGTGCTCGACGAGTCGCCAAACAAGGTGCTTCTCTGGCACTGCGGCGGATGTGCCACAGGCACCTGGATAATTCCAAACGCGTAGCACGCGCGGCTGGGATTGAATTCCACATCCCGCATGTCGACAAGCAGTGACAAGATCTGACGCCACTCCCCACCTTCCATACATGCGCTGATCGCAGTGCCATAGCTACCGACGTCGAGCTCTACTTTCGCCTCCGACATCTCGCCGAACTGCGCGAGAACCTGCTGCCATTGCCCACCCTTTTCGCACGCGCTGGCCAGAGCGCCATAGCTGACGACGTCGGGCTCCACTTTTGCCTCCGCCATCTCGCTGAGCAGCGCCAGAGCCTGCTGCCACTGCTCGCCCTTCTCGCATGCATTGATCCCGGAGTTGTAGCTGACTATAGGGCTGACCCGTGGACTTCGTCCACTTGCGGGGTGAACGGGTGCGACCGTCAGACGATCAGGATAGATGGCGTCATGTTCGCGTCTCGGGGGCGGTTTTGGGAATGTCTTGTGGCCTCTCGAGGGTCTCTTGGGACCCGATTTGGGCCTCTTAGGGGGCCTTCCGGAGCGTCAGGGGGGCCTCTTGGGGACCAGCTGGCGGTTTCTGGAATCATCCTGGAGCGGAGGGCGCGAAAGGTCAGTTCGAGGTCCCCATTGTGGGGCCCTCTTGAGCTGTCTGGAAGCTCTCTTGGGGGCCTCGCGTGCCATCTTGGCGCAATCTTGGGAGCCCTGGGGCCAGCTTGGGGCGTGGAGGCTCCGAAGAGGCGAGAAATTCAGACCGAAGCCTTTGCAAAGGAGGGGAGAAAATAAGAGGCGCCTGGGCGCCTCATTTTCTTGGGTGGCCGGCGCGGTCCCAGAGCTCTCTGAAGGACCTTCCCTCGGAAGCCTCTTGGAGGGAGGCAGTTTTGGGGGTGTCTTGTGGCCTCTCGAGGGTCTCTTGGGATCGGATTTTTGGTCTCTTCGGGGACCTTCTGGGGCGTCTTAGGGGGCCTCCTGGGGGCCAGCTGGCGGTTTCTGGGATCATCCGTCCAGGAGCGGAAGGCGCGAAATGTCAGTTCGAGTTCCCGCTCGTGGGGCCCTCTTGGGACCGTCTTGGGCCGCTTTGGGGGCCTCTTGGGCCGTCTTGCGGCCCTCTTGAGCTGGTTGGAAGCTCTCTTGGGGGCCCCCTGTGCCATCTTGGCGCGAGTGGGGCTGGCTTGGAGCGTCGAGACCCCGAAAAGGCGAGAACGCTGAACCCCTTCGAAAATCCAAAGGATTCTGGCCTCTCGTGGTCCTCCTTGGGGCCTTCTCTTGGGAACCTGTTGGGCCGTCTTCGGGCACTGTGGGGCCTTCTGGGGCGTCTTGGGGGCTTCTTGGGGGCCAGCTGGTGGTTTCTGGAATCATCCTGGAGCGGAGGGTGCAAAATGTCAATTCGAGTTCCTCTGATGGGGCCCTCTTGGGACCGTCTTGGGCCGTCTTGGGGGCCCCTTGGGCCGTCTTGGGGCCCTCTCGGGCTGTCTGGGGACTCTCTGGGGGTCCTCGTGTGCCATCTTGGCACGATCATGGGTGCTCTGGGGCCGGCTTGGAGCGTCGAGACTCCGAAAAGGCGAGAGCGCTGAAACCCTTCAAAAATCCAAGGGAACTCAATGATTTTGGCCTCTCGGGGCCCTTCTTGGGGGCCTCTTCGCGCCCTCTTGGGCCGCCTTCTGGCACTGTGGGGCCTTCTGGGGCGTCTGGGGGGCCTCTTGGAGGCTAGCTGGCGGTTTCTGGGATCATCCTGCATCCTGGAGCGGAGGGCGCGAACTGTTACTTCGAATTCCTTCTCGTGGGACCCTCTTGGGCCGTCTTGAGGCCCCCTCGGGCTGTCTGGAAGCTCTCTTGGGGGCCTCTTGGGTCATCTTGGCACGGTCTTGGGGGCCCTGGGGGGCCGGCTTGGAGCGTGGAGACTCCGAAAAGGCGAGAATGCTGAAACCCTTCAACAGCCCGAGGGAGATCAATGATTTTGGCCCGTCGGAGCCCTTCTAGGAGGCCTCTTGGAGCCCTCTTGGGTCGTCTTCCGTCTGAAAGCCGTATTGGCGACCTCGTGGACCGTCTGGGGGCGTCTCGGGCCGTATTGGACCGTCTTGGAGCCCGCATGAGCCGTCCTGGAGCACCCCCGGGGCCGGCCGGGGGCTGGTTTTGGGCCATTGGATCCTGCGCCACTCTGGCTCGCGTGTCCCCTGGCGTTGTAGTATAGACTAGGGCTGGCCCGTGGACTTCTGTCCACGACAGCTTACTCGCATGCAAGGGTTAGGGTCGCATGCCTGCTTGCCTTCTTTCGTGCTGTCCTTCGCGCATGGCTGCTGCCCTGCTGGCCCGACAGCTTTTCCCCCGAAGTTCCCGTTTGCATGCTGGTCAGCGTGTCTGGTATCAGGCTTGTCTGCTTGCTTGGTTGCTTCATGGCTTGCTTGCCCGCTCGCTGCCGCCTACTGCCGCTTGCTGATGCTTGGTTCTGCTTGGTGTTTGTTGCCGCTGTGCTTTGAGCTTCTGCAGCAACTGCTTTTTTGCTGGTGCAGGCGACTGCTTGATGCGGCTTGTTGCTGCCGCTTGCTGCTCAGCGCTGGTGCTCTTGATGCGTGCCGCCGCTACTTACTGCTTCTTACCGCTGCTGCCTGCTGACGGAGGCTGAATCTGCATGCTGCTAGATCTGCTTGCGTGGCTGCAGGCATGCGGATGCGACATGTTGCTTGTATGCTGCCCTGCCGGCCTGATGTATTGGATGTTTGCTTGCTGCGGGTTGCTATTGCTCAATGCTGCTTGCTGCTATGTGTTGCTGTTTGCCGTTTCTCGCTTCTGCTGCTGCCAACTGCACCGTCGACTGGTATTGGCATCTGCTTGCTGCGGCTTGGTGCTGCGGATTGCTATTGCTTGGTGCTGGCTGTTGCTTGATGCGTGCTGCTTGGCGCAGGTGATATAAACGCGTGCTGGTGCTGCTGCTTTGTTGCTGCTCGGCGATGCTGCTCACCGATGCAGGCTGCTGCTGCAAGCTAGTGCAGACTTCTGCTGATGTTTGCTACTAATAACTGCTAATGGCGCCGCTGCTTGCTCTACTGCTGTCGGATCTGGGAGTCGTGCTGGGGCACGCTAGGGCCGCATTGTGGGCGTCTCGGGGCCCTCTTGAGGTCATCCTGGATCATCTCGCGGCTCTCCGTGGGTCTTTTTGCGCCATCGTGGCGCCCTCTCGAGGCCCTCTCGAGCCCTTTGGAGGCTCTTTAAGGACGTCGTGGGCCCTCCGGGGCCATCCTGGGGCTCTCTTGGGCTGTCTTGGGAGCTTAATGGAACGCACATTGGCCTTCCTGGGGCTGCCTCGGTGCCATGCCATCTTGGAGGAGCGTCGGGTCACTTCGAGGCCATGTCAGGCACTGCTGGATTAAGGTGGAGGCGAGCCAGGAGGCGTCTGGGTGCCGAGGACTGCGTCGCCCCCCGAGCGGAGCCGCCGAGGCAACGCCGTCCGGGGCCAAGCCCAAGAAACAGGCAGCCCTTCTCGGACACCCGTGCTCTACTGCCACGGAGTCTAATGAGTGTGCCATCCTCGAGCCTTCCTAAGACGCCTCTTCGAGCCCTCTTGGGCCAGCTTCGTAGGAGCCGTTTGGGAGCCTCTGGAGGCTTCTTGTCGGCGTCCTGGGGGCCTCTTGTGGCTCCCTTGCGCCGTCTTGGCGGCCTCTGTGGCCGTTCTGGGGCCGCCTTGGGCCGTCTTTGGCAGCACTTGGAGCCGTCTTGGGTGCCTCTTAGGCCGTCTTGAGTGCCTTCTGGACTATCCTGGGGCCGTCTTGGGCCGTCTTGAGGCCCTCATGGGGGCCTTTCGGGGAGATTTTGGGGCCCTGTATGGCCGTCTTGGACGCTTCGAAGATGGAAAGCACGAGACTGCCAACAATGTGCGGCTTCCCATCTTATCTCGGCGATTTTTGCCGGAGCCCTCCTGGAGCATCTCGGGGGCCTCGTGGGCTGCGTGGAGGCCGTCTCGGACGTCTTGGAGCGCTCCCAGGCCGTCTCGGGAGTCCTCTCGGACCATCTCGAGGGCCTCTCGGGACCCCCTTGGGCGGCCGCAGGCGTCGCGACGCGGGCGTCTGGGGAGCCTGCGTGCTCTGAGGGCGTCGCGGAAGGCCGCCCAAGCGCCAGAGGAGCTGTCGGGGCAGCGCCTCTCCCGCACGCGCGGGGCCCCGCAATGTAGTAAAGACGAGGGCTGGCCCGCCAGACTACCGTTCACTGAACAATAATCGCATACAAGGGTGAGGATCGCTTGCTTGCTCGCCCGCTAGCGTGGTCGCCGGAGTGGTGGCATGTTAGCTGGATGTCCTGCTTGCTGTTTCATCTGCTTCGTTGTTTACCCGTCCGCTCGCTGCCGCTTCCTTACTTTTGGTGCTGCTGGCTGCAACTGTCTTTTTACGTCCTGCTCTTCTTGCCGCTGCGGGATGCGTGCTTGCTGCTGCTGCTTGATGCGGCTTGGCGCTGCGTGGTGCTGCTGCTTGATGCGGCTTGATGCGTGGCGCTGCGTGATGCTGCTTTCTTTTTACGTTCCGTTGCGTGCTGCTGCTTGATGCGGCTTGGCGCTGCATGGTGCTGCTGCTTAGTGCTGGTTGATGCTGCGTGCCTGCTACTGCGAGCTGCCGCTAGCTGCCGCTGTTTCGCGCTGTTGGTAATGCTTGCCGCGGCTGCTTATTTTTGCTGCTTGTGGTTGCTGGGTGTTGCTGCCGGCTCTGCTTGCCGCGTGCTGCTGCAGGGTGCTGCTGCGCTGCATGCTGCTGCATGCTGCTGCTGCTGCTGCTGCTGCTGCTGCTGCTGCTGCTGCTGCTGCTGCTGCTGCTGCTGCTGCTGCTGCGGGCCCCAGGGTTCATCACCGGATGCGCGCGCTCTCTGCTGGCAGCCAGAGCTGAAGCACTCCTGTCCCAGCGCTGCGCCCGGCCGCTGCGGCGGGGACCCGACCCAGCTGCTCCGCAGCTGCGGCCGCAGGCGGTCGCTGGACCCGCTGGCGGCCCTCCGGGCCGCCGCGCCGCCGCCGCCGCGCCGCGAGTGCACAGGGGAGCCCGGGAGCGGCTCCTCGCTGCGCGGCGGGAGCCCAAGGCCCGTGACGTCGCCGGGGCGGGGCCTCCGCAGAGGGAGCTGCTGGTGGCGGAGGAGGAGGAGGAGGAGGAGGAGGAGGAGGAGGAGGAGGAGGAGGAGGGGGAGGAGGAGGAGGAGGAGGAGGAGGGGGAGGAGGAGGAGGAGGAGGAGGAGGAGGAGCCTCTCTCCAGCGGGGACGGGGCCCAATGCCATGGGCTCCCAGCCGCGGGGAGGACACGGGCCGCGAGGGGCCCTCCGCTCTGTTGCCGCGGGTGGGGGCGAGGCCCGCGGCAGCAGCGGCGGGTGGGCCGCGAGCCTCGCCGCGTCCTGACGAGCA